AAAAAAATATGAAACGAATTATGGCTTGTTTTACTGTACTTTATTTTCGATCCATAATTTTTTTAAAAACATGTAGATGGTCGTGGTTTTGATTTAGATGGTGCCAGATGTGTTTTCTAGAAAATAATGCAGCAAATTTTGAAGCACAAAGATTTCTTTCTACCACCAGGGTGTGGGTGGGTGCGGGTGTGGGTGTGGGTGTGGGTGTGGGTGTGGGTGTGACTAAAAACGAAATTGACACTCACACTCACACCCACACCCACACCCACACACCCACACCCCCACACCCCACACCCTGCCATGTTAATTTTACTTTTTTTCTCACTAGTTGGCCGACCAAGAAAAAGTCACCCAAGTGCCGTGTACGACTTGTCATTGCATTAGCAAAAAGGATTATTTCGTCGCAGAGATTCAGAGAGTGAGAGCGAAATACACAGAGAGTAAAGGAGAAAGAACGCGCAAGAAAAAGAGAGAACAGTGTATATTCTTTCTCTGCAAAAACATTCAAATCACTTTTGATTTTTCTTCAAAAACAACATGTATTCGAATAGGGTAGGTTCGACAAGCAACAGAGAAAAGTTTCACCATTCACTCTAACGGATTGCCTAGCTCACTTTACACTAGGACTGAATGGAACAAGTGAGAAATTATTTTGGTACCTTCCTACTCAGATTTTGTTCGAAAGCTCTCGCTTCTCAAAAAGTTCCACATTTGTGTGTCTCGAGATCAATCTGCAAAAAATTCTCAACTTCACGGTGTATCGCGTAGATACGGATGTCCCCGAATGTTTGCAACATCACGTATATTTTGTAAAATCTAGCATGAGCTAAAAAAAAGATCTTGAGTTTTTCTCTAGAAGAATCATTGTCGAATGCTCTCCAGATTTCTATCTATCTTTGTTCAAACAATGGAACTGATTATTTTTATAGATCACATTGTGAGACGCCATATATTACTTTTGGTAATTTAGTTCTTTTGTAGGAAGAAATATTTGGTGCTGAAAACAGAAGCTACTGCTACATAAATCATGAGAACCACAGCTAATCGCGAATTTATGCTAGATTTTCTATTCGTGATTATGTCGATCCGGTAGCATTTTCTACAGAATTGCTTTAACGAATCATGAGATTTTCTCGCTTTTTGTGTTTTCCAAAAAGAGCTCCCTACAAATTTAACCTATGATCAAAACAAGTTGATTTACACAGCATTTTTGGAAATAGATTTTCTTAACTAACTGCAGCACTGATAACATCTAATAATAAATATACCTGCTAGAAGGAAAATCAGAATAGTAGAAAAGAAAATCGTTTTTCTCTGCAGCGACCCAGCTGGTCGTTTTGATTTTCCAAAACTGAATTATCATCAAATGCTTACCCATCATTCTCAGAGAGCATTTGCTATTTGATCTAAATCCTAAGATTGCGTCTTTTAAGTGATTATTAGAAAAACGCAGTAAAAAAGTATGGGACGTAGATGCATTTCATACAATCCCACTGTGCAATCAATATTCAACTCACCTACATAGAAGTTTATTAAGAATTCAAAAGCAAAACTTTCACAGGAAACTAAAGATTTTCCGTTTTGATTGTGTTACAAAATATATAAAATATATTATAATGCAAACATTCTAGAGCATCCGGTAAACGTGAGATGAGAATACGTCATGGATCTCTGAACTGTTACAACACGCGAACCCGTATCCACATCCAGTCACATCCTACCATCACACCCACACCCAAACTCACACACCCACACCGACACCCCACACCATAGTACCGAAGTACAGGAGTATTGCTTGGGGTACCGGAGTTTCATCTGAAATATCGGAGCACCTGAAACCCGGAGTGTCAATTTCCACTTGGGTCATGGTCATTACCAAAGAAAAACAGTTTTCCCAACAAATTTTAATAAGGTGATTGGAAAAATAACTCGAGTTGAAGTTTTGCTCAGAATTTTCTCTTCAAAATCCGGTTTGGAACGTGATGATACAACAATCTTCGACAGAGAAAAATATTGCGCGTTTGTCGTGACCAGAAGTTATTTTTCCAATCTCCTTATTAAAAACCGTTGTAAAAAAACATTTTTCTTTGGTCACGCCCGTGACGACGATGCAGGTTTCTAACTACGATCCTAGCATACTCATTTTCCTTTGGATGATATGAAAATTTTTCGACCTATACCAACTTACAGGCTTTTTGGACGACCGAAAATAGTGCGCAGATAAATTTTCGTTTTTTGCGCTGTCCATTGACTAATCTACCTCGGTGTCTACCCTGAAAGGTTCAGCTCATTAAAACTCCTGAGGCAAATGTTGATTTTTTTCCAACGGAAAACGTTTCCGTAATAACTGTTGTAAACAATAAATGCGCAGAGAAGAAAAGAAATATTGAATTCTTTATTACAATACATGAAGTTGCTTTGTAAGAATTATAACTGAAATTATGTGTTGAACTTTTTGCTTCACTGTCATTCGAGAGAGACTTTGTTTAGTCTTTGTTCTAGATAAAATACATAATGCCCCAACATAAATATAAAGTATCTGTTCACGCCCGTTTCGGAGTTATATGGCAAAAGCTTTTGGATAAGATTGAACATCCGCAAAAATATGTAATTGAAATTCGACATGTTGAGATTTTAGAACGTAAACCAGATCATATTGTACGCCGGGTTCAATTTGAGAATACATCATGGCAAGAATTAAAAGAATTAATCATTATTAATGAAAAGGCAGGCACAATAGTCTATCGCTTAGTTGATCATCCATATTTTACAGGTAAGTAGGCAATTACTGTTTTAAATTCAGCTTCTGAGATTGGACAATGAGATAGACTAAGGACATTTATCCCACAATATCACAACAAGTAACGCTCGTCTGCCGCCGCGCTCAGCTCTTTGTCGTAGAAATGCTATTTCTGAATTCTTAGCAAATTATTTATTTACACCATTTCAAAAAGTGAAATGAGCATATTTTCGCTGTGTTTTTCTGTCAAGTTCATATAGACATTTGAGTTCAGCTTCCTGGGCAGTGGAAGGTCTGACTTGTGAGACCTAATTAACAAATAATTAATGAAAACTGACCTCAGATTCAGATTCCCACCCCTAATCACCTTTGGTCAAGTTTTTAGAAAATGTTAATAATTAATAATCAGTTAATAACTAATTAATAATTCACTAATCAAAACCGAGCTCGGATTCGGATTCACACACCCAATTACTTTTGGTCAAGTTTTCCAGAAAACCTTAATAATTAATAATCAGTTAATAATTGATCAATAATTAATAATTAATTAAAACTAACCTCAGATTTGAACTCCCTACCTCGATTACCTTTGGTCAAGTTTTAAGGAAAATAATCCCTTTTGTTTTCACATTATTCTTGGATCAATCAGTGAAGTGCGGACACACAAGCAAGCAAGCAAGCAAACAATTTATTCTTATTAGACTCTTCTCTACGAGAAAGAGAACAATATATTTCCATTTCCACTCATTTGTATTTTTTTTACGCCATACTAACTCGAACAAGATAAATGTTCAATAAAATTCTCATTAGCACATCTGAAAATGAATTTTGCTTTGGTTCTAGGTGATACAACTAATATATGTCGCACGACAAATGACGCGCATATATCAGAATTAGAATACACAATTGATTGGAAATTAAAAGATCCCAATGGCATTGAATCAACTGAAATTAAAGATGATGCTCGACAAGCATTAGAATTATCGGCGAGAGAAATGAAGCGAGCTTCAGAAGAAGCAGAAAGTGTTCATGGTAAGCTATGAGGCAAATGAAAATTTAAGAGAGGATCCATTGCATAGAGATGTCCATCGCAACGCTTCAGTCGTGACAGCGGTATGCGACTGCAGTGCATATTTTCAAGACATTTTTTTGTTGTCTATAGGGAATACTGCAGTTATTCTTATTAAAGTCCTAGTGGTCTCTAGATTAAATAGAATTTTCCTCATTTTCCAATCTGTGCATCACTTTATCATGCAAGAAGTGCAAAAAGTTGTAATATTTTATGAATGAATAAAAATCTTAGTAAGAATCTAGTATTTACAAGTGAAAAACACGCATCACTTCCTGTCTTGGCTGATAAATAAATTCAATGTGACTTTAAACTGCGTAATTTGACCATTAAAAGTTTTCTTATGTCATTTCTTTTGCGCGAGAAGGATAATACGGAGAAGTAACAGCTGCTGAGCTGCTGCTCTTACGTCAAGTTTTTTTTGTTTTTCCATTATGTTAAGTTCTAGGCAATTTCGATGAGTTGACAAAAGAGCGCGATTTTGGCTGAATCCTTGTCTATTAATCATATTTTTACTTTTATTTCTTCTCATTGAGAAACGGCTATTTAAGTTTTACCAAAAGATATTTTCTGCCTTTTGAACAAGTTGTAAACAATATTGGGAAACATATTTATTAAATTCGATTGGCTACGTATAATTGGCGATATCTGGAACAAGGTTACTATTTTTTGCTCGTGCTGCGCCGATCACTATTTCATCTAAATACATGGCCCCTAGTAATTTGAGATCATCATGATTGTATAACCATTTTGTATTCAGCGCAGATAGTAAAGTCATCGACACATTAGAAGACTCGAGACTTTTTATTCTGTCTTATCGTTTACAAGTCACAAGAGGGTCTTCTGCTATGTCCTTTAGGTAAGTCATAGTTTTTTACACTGTCAGTGATGATTTTCGCTTTCAACCATTTTTGTTCAATAAATTGTTGATAAGTATTTTTATTTTATCATGTTCACGCCAGTACGGTAAAAATATAGACCATATTTCAGTCAGAAAAAGGAAACACATAATTAACAACAACACTGTTCGCCTTATTACAATACAATCAATCACACGCTAAAAGCTTGGTACATTTTGACGATACCCAAGCAGACAAGAATTTGGAAAAACGCGTTTAAACGCTATAAAATAGACCCGCTATTGTGATCCATTCACTTTCAAAAGAAAAACGCAAGAAACAATGTTTTTTGCGTATAATTTTCACTTTTACAGCGTGTAAACGGCTAAAACCTCTAGTTTTAGTGTTCAAATGTGCTTTCATTCTGGAATTTAAAAACGATGCATTTTAACGCTCGTTTTTTGAACTTTTAACCGTTTTCACACTCTAAAAGTGAACACTAAACGCAAAAAACATTGTTTCTTGCGTTTTTCTTTTGAGCGTGAATGGATCACAATCGCGGTTCCATTTTGTAGCGTTTAAAAGCGTTTTTACAGACTTTTCCCAGGCAGACAGAAATTCGAAAACATGTGTTTACATGCTTCACTCGGGAATCTCGACTGTGAGCTGCACATGTTGATAAATAAAACGCCGAAAACGGCGTTTCCAACGTTTTATTTATCAGCATGTGTAGCTCGCAGTCGAGGTTACCGAGTGGAGCGTGTAAACACATGTTTTCAAATTTCTGTCTGCCTGAGTTATCTGCTTGGGCAGCAGTACGTTTTTCCCAATAATATCAGAGAGCACTTGCAACATGTTTTTGTTTATTAAAATTAATTGAAGGCTACAGAGATTTTTTTTGGAGATTTATTAAAACGACTAGATTTATCTAATGATAGCACATCATGCATTGTAGTTGCACAGAAAAGAAGCCCTAGTTTCGAAGAGGTAAACCTAACTCCTAATCACTCACGAGTGAACATATCCAAATGTCAAATCGCTTTTCAATAGGGTATAGTCCCAAACGATAGAGCTCAGTGAGTTATTAAACATCCTAGAATAACTTGGTTTTCCAACCTTCTCTTCTAGAATTATATACATTTTACGCGATTTTAGCCTATGGGCAAAGAATTTCCTGAGAACCTAAACAGTCAAATTTCGAGCTGAAATTTTGTCTATAGATAGGTCTTACAGTCACTAGAAACTTCCCAAAATTTGAACCAAAACGAATGTTCACGTATCGAGTTATCAACTTATCATGAAAATGGTCCTATTGTGAAACATATTCCAAAACAAGCGTTTCTTTAAAATGTGAATATCTTGGTAACGATACATTGATTCTGGCTCAAACTGCGGGAAGTTGAGGGTGTGGGTGTGAGTGTGGGTGTGAGTGTGGGAGTGAGTTGGAATCTTCCGTTCTCTCACACTCAAACCCACACTCACCCACATACACACCCACACTCACATCCACACCCACACCCACACCCACACCCACACCCCACACCTACACCCATACCCACACCTCACACCTCACACCCACACCCACCCACACCCACACCCACATCCACATCCACACCCACACACCCACACCGCTGACATGCATTTTTAGTTACTTTCAAGACTTACAATATTAATAGTTCTTACACGTATGATCGACTTTATGTAATCCAATAAATGTGGAAAAACATGTGGAAAAAAATTCTCACAAACCTTGAAGAGAGTGAAAATAAAAAAATATGGATGAGACCCCAAGATACTTGAATAGTACCAAGTTAAATCTACAACCGGCTTATTGTTATCATTGGTATTTGTTTAAAATCATATGACCCAAAAATCGACTATATCGAGGCTCCTTTTGCTAGTTTACAAACAAAATTTGCAAGTGTCCGAATAGCTTTTGTTGCATACGGAACTATGTTGGTTCAGGAAAGAATCGAGCGAGTCAAATGGCACACTAATTGTTTTTAACGATTATTATTTCCTCGAAGGTTGTTGAAAGCTCATTATTTTAAAACCAATACTTTTTCTAGATTACCATGTGATTCCACCCGTCCAGCCTGTATCGCCACAAGAGGAAAGTTATTATAAAGAATGTAAACAGTATTATCATATCACAGGAACTCCACTAATATCAATCTCTGAGGAGATTATTAAAGACGATATGGAATTAACGTCAGCATCGCTCAAACTGGGTATTGACAAAGATTACGAAAACTTTAATATACAAGAATTTTTGAATGAACTTTGCAATATTTTAAATATAGATTTAGATGACATAGAAATTATAAAGCTGCAAAAAAAATGTATTCTATTCGAGATAAAAGTGTTCATTAAGAAAGTAGCGACAAAAATTAAGGTGAAAGTACCCGAGATGTATAAATCATTGAAAGAAACGGTAGAGAAAAACCTAGCCCAATTATCGATATTCTTCGGGTTTTTTGGTACTGATATTAACCCGTTAAATGAAAACATAAAACATCGTGAAGAACTAAAACTGCATCCACAATGGAATCGTATATATGGTGCAGGTCATACGTATTGGACTGGCGCCCTGCACGATGGACTAGATCGTGGTCCTCATCCATATTATTGTCCAGTGGGATGGAAAAGATATTCTTTATATGTTACCGATAACTTTCGCGAGACGTTTTCAGGATGGTGTATATGTTATCATGGTACTAAATTTCGATATGGTTTATCGATTCTAACAAGTGGACTGAAA